TATAGTTGCATTAAGGAAGTATCGAAGCAAGCGTGATATATATATTCTGTTTGTATATCGCGCACGATTTCACGCATCTCGTGACAGTGTCAACGACGCACTGTAGACGCGATTCCAAGCAATCGCGTGAAAACGCGTGAAACAAGGAAACACCGTTTTCGCGACAAAGCGAGTCTCGTATCAAGTCGCGAGAGAAAGATAGCAAAGGACAGAGAGAGAAGAAAGTCGATAGGGAGTTTCGAGAATCTGGTCGTGGGTAGAACACGGGGATTCAGGTGACGCGAACCAGTCCGACTAGCGACGCAGCACTAACACGAGAGTATTTTGAGGCCTGCCGACAAAATGTCCAATTCCCAGAGGAGACAGATGATGCAGCCATGGCCTCTGTGCCTTGTGTCTTTTTCAAAAACGAAGGTAAGATATGTACGTACGTTATCTCTCACGTAACGCGGATTCGGCCGATCGCAATCGACGTATATTCCGTTCGTTCTCCGCCGGCTCGTTTTCGCCTAACCATGTCACCAATTCGTGTTCCCTCGTTCATTTTCGGTGCCTTCTTTCTCTCTTCCTCCCGCGTCTGTTTCCACAATTTCGCACTCTCACCGCTTTGCTCTTTCTTCCCCTCCCGAGCTTCTGGAAAGTTCCACTGTACGTGCCACCGCCACCGCCGTCGCCGACGTCGCTAGGCCCGGTCGCCCGGTATACTCTGTGGCCGGCGCCTCTGCCGTCACATCACGTCACCACCTATCGTCACTCTTCGCAATTTTTCATCATATATCTTCCTTCCCATTCACTGCTTATATCATCTTAATCTTATTTTAAATTATCCCCTTAGCCTTAGCCACCTTTCTCTTCCTCTTCCTCTTCCGCTTCCTCTTTCACTTTCAATCGTTTCAGTTACCGTTCTCTCATGCCCTTGTACTTCTCGCACGCTGATCGATACCTCCGGTATACATACGTTTTATTCGAACGCGCGTGAAATTCTACGATCCTTTTAACCAGGACTGCACACGTACTCGAATCTTTGGGTTTCCATTTTGCTCCTCTCTTACTTGCTACCTTCACCCTCTCACTTTTCTGTCTCTCTGTTTTACCTTTCTTGGCTATCCCCTCTCCTATGGAAAATGTTGGAATTTTACTGTGCATCACCGGTAGTCTGTTTCGTTGCTTTTCTATTCAGCCAGTATGCATCCCTTTCGTTCGTACTGAAATTTCTTCGTTCTATATTTAAAAAGGACGATCGCATGCATCGATGTCGGCGGAGGTTGCCGGGTGTATCGTATGTCGAAAGCTACACGCAAAGCGAACGATACTTGAACATTCGTGGTACATACCGACTGTGACGTTCGGTGTTGTTCATCGCGGTAACGTTCATGTGTTCGCGCGCGCTTATGTTATATGTATTTTTGATACTTGTCGTTGATATTTTTTTGAGTTTTCGAATTTCGGCAGCGCTTGGTACGTGACCGTCACCGTCCAAAAATATCGATCGTCGAGTTAAAGCCGCGCGTCTGTATTATTACGATTCAGTCAAATACGTATCGCATAGAAGCATTTGATTTTGGTAAACGCAAGCGACAATTGTAACGTTTCGTGCGTTAATCAACGAGGTAGCTAATTTCGGTCACTGACGAACCACTACGCCTCTGCATCATTATCGGTTAAATGGTGTTCGCGCCTGTTTCATTGAATAAACGAGATTGCGTCGTCGCGACAATAAGAGGACCTTTAAACGCTGTTGCTGTTAGTCATCGTTACCGCCTATAACCATTTGCGTTCGTATTGATATTCGTAATTCGTAATTATTGAAACGCGAAATATATATATAATATCGAAGTTTGAATTTTAGGACATGTCGTCCACCAGAATCGTCGATCGGCGTGTGCCGATCAAAAGATGACAAATTTTGTAATACAAGAAACATATTTTTCAATAAATGGCATTTTTTAATCGTTAACAATAGTTTCTAAGTGTTTTCGGACCCGCTTCTTCCATACCATTCACACTCGAACGTTTAATCATCGAATACATACTACATTCATTGTTTTTGTTAAATCGAAATTAGTTCTACTTTGTACGTACCGCCGCCTTATTTTCTCTTTTCGTCGTATAATTTTATTTCGAAATGTTTTATTGAAGATTCCATTTAAAAAGTTTCAGAACGCCGAACCACGTATCCGCGATAAATATCGCACGTAAAACAGACCAATTGTTTTGGAAATGAAATGCGTACACGTACTTACGTACAGGGTGTACAAAAAAAAAAGAAGTAAGTGTCAAAACCAGCGTAATTGGTAGCGTAATCGTACGCTTTCGGGTCAATGGAGATTTGTAAAAAGAAAATGCTTGTGTCGGAGATTTGTAAAAAATAAAAGCAATTTGACCTTGACCTTAAAAGCCAAGGTTAAATTCTTTTTTTAGCACAGCATATTTTCCTCTTCATCGTCAGAATCGAAAGTCTCAAAGAAACTATCGATCGCGACTTAACTGTCCTCTCGGAAAGAAATTGTAGAAGTTTCAATAATTCTCAACCTCTTCGGTGCAACGGCGTTTGTCCGGCACGTAGTCACTTGACGGCCGCGAACACCAGCGATTGCGTAGCGCTGGAAAAGATTAAACTTACCGAATTCACAATGTGTCATAATTGCGAATATGTTGCACATTTTATCGGTGTAGGTAAATAAACGAGACCAATAACGCGGTTGCCAAAAATTCCTGCCCATAAGTCGATTGTGGAACGTCCTTGATTACATCTTTCAACCATTGCATGGGGATTTCTCATGGGGAGCCCAACTCCTCACACTTTGCTAATTGAACACGTTACTACTCGAACAACTACACTCGTCTGTGAACAACGCACATTCCAGAGAAGCGTGTTTCGCGTTGCAATTTCGGAGCCAATAAGCGTGGCTGATATTATGGATCCACTTCTTGGACCAGTTCAGATTACACGTAGAGAATGTCATTCGAAACGCTCTGTCAAAATGTAGTTCTGCCCCATCGCTTGTAACAATGGCTACGACAAGTAAAAGTATTACCGCGAGAGAATTTGAAATCGCGAGTTTCGAGTTTTTCAACTATAGCACACGAAATTGAAATATCGAGTTTCACGCCTGCAAAAGAGACGCAGCCTGCCGCTAGGATAAAAAAGCGAAATTCTACGCCGTACCCGGAAGGTTAAGACGCTGCGGTATTCTTGATTATCAAATTGTTAATTGTAGCCGCTGAAAATCACGTTGCCTTCGAACCTCGTCCACGCGTAAACATCTCCGTTATTTCTCGTTGATTTTTCGAAAAATAACATTTTGCGAGTTAGTCTATAGTTTCCAGTTACTTTGTCGATCGCGCGCTAATTACTTTCTCATTGTAAATGTAAAGACATCGCGAATAAGGTCAAATCTGGGATCAAATATAATATTCGGACAGGAAAATTTTTGATCTCAACGTGTCTCCTCGATGGTATTGGTTGGGCCGTTAAAGCCGAAAATGAGATTCATTTTTCACGGAAACGAGAAAGGGTTTTGAAAATTCGGTCTTACGAACATTCGGGCTACGAAGGTCTTAAATCCGCTCAAGATCGTGATTGTACAGAGCGGTTAGCGGTAAGCGGCGCAATAAGCGACGGAACAACCAATGCCAATGCTCCAAATGCCTATTTTACCACTTACCGCTTACCGCTTTCTGTATGATCACCGCTTAACCGGTCGTCGTGAGGCGGCCGAAAAATAAACGATCGACCCGAACCTAATGCAATACTTGTGACTCCGATGTATACGGAGTAAGCCATACAGTAGGTTAAGAGCACCAAAATTTAAAGAAGGTACGATCACAATCCATGAGCGAGATACACATCGACAGATTGACCTAAATTTTTGAAGCCTTATTTCCATGAAAAGCGAGCCTCGTTATCGGCCTCGGCAACCTCAAAGTCCCCTAAAAAGTGTCATTCTAGTCAAATATTTTCCAATCCGAATAAAATACCAGAGCCGAAGACACTTCAAGAATTACTGAAGCTTTAACAATTTTTTTTCGAGAGAACGGTTGAGTTGCGACCCATAGTTCCTCCGAGACTCTGATCCTTATTGATGAATAGAATACGATGCAATAAGAAAGACTTAACCTAGAATTCCAAGATCAAGGTCAATTTTACGCGGACTTCTTTTTTTACGAATCTCCAACGACCCGAAGGTGTAGAATTACGTTATAGCGGTTTTTACACTTACTTTTTTTACACCCTGTACAAATACGCACGCGCACGCTGTCAAACCGTATGGATCTTATTCCTTTACCTATCGTATGTATTATAGATAGAGTAAACGATGCGCATTCATAGTTGGAAAGATGAATCTTCTCACCATCGTAAGCTCCTCGTCACTGTGTCTCCATTAAGGGCACCGTTCGATACATGTAACCACGTTTGTAACCACGCGTCTTTACTCAAAGCATTTCTTTCCATTCTCATGCTAATTGTCAAAATCAATATTGGTTGTTGGTGCAATATTGGGGGTTCATCGCTCTTTCATTCTACGATACCACGAATATCGACACTCGACGCAATACGATTGTAACGAAGAATAAAACGCAACGAAAAGATAATGCAAAAGGAGAGTCAGAATTCGATTGGAAGCGTGTTCGCTGTCGAAAATCCGCGAGATTTGACGAAACGAGACTCATAGCAACGCGCGATCACATAGGTCGGTGTTTATCGTAAAGAAAAGCTACTACGCTTCGAAAATGAAATAGCATAATTCGTGTTTATTATACATTGTATCGAGTCGCGTTCGACGACGATGTTGTACTGCCGCGAACCGCCGAGAAACGGGGAAGAAATGAGGGGAAGTAGGTAAGACGCCATACGGCTTAGATACATAGGTACGTAGCAACATCAAAAGAGTCGTATATCGTAGACACTGACAGGCTAGATATCAAAGATTACCAACTATTATCTAATGCTCCCCGCTATACCGCTTTCCGTAGCATAATATATTTCGGCCAGCAAGATGTGGATATTGCAGTCGACTTATCTCTACGTTAATTGTCACGGACGCAGCGCTAAAATGCTTCGTCAGCCACGAGTGTCTACGCCGCTGGTACGTCACACTATGTATTGCTCTAAGTCAACCGCACCTTCATTTCGAAATCTGCATATAGAGAACATGTGCGTAGCTTCTCCCGTCGATCTCCTCCACACGGAGATTCATTCGAAACATCATGCAAGATTCGTCGTGTCGAGAGGATGCAGTCGATCGAGCGATGTACGGATAGAACACGATCGAGTCATAGAGCGCGGAATCGCTGAGTGAAAGCGCAGAGTATGCCATGTCGTAGATGCATGGTCCGACAATCTCTCTTTCTTTTTTTGCTTCTGCTCGTTTACACGCTCGCATACATAAACGCAAAAGTAACCCTTGATATTCGATATCCTTGAACGTCGCCACTTTTTGTTTCTTTCTTTTCCATCCTTTCGCATTCTACCTTTCTGTTTGTTGCGAAAAATGTATACGATGTGTTTGCGTTCTATGCCCTTCGTCGAGTCATAGTTACGATACGAGAGAGATTCGAACGGTTCTTACAGTTTTCCTTAAAATGTCGCCGAAGCGAACCTCGTGCAAAAAAAATTTTTGCAACGATTCTAACTACACATGCATCTTATCCTTGTCAAGCTAAACTAAGGCGAAGTACATATTATCGATAGAAATATCAATTTGCTTCTAGAAACACATTTCGCCATAAACGTACGAGCTTCATTTTCGGTGGCATATAGCCGAATCAACAAACTCGAACATTATATATAATGTATCGTAAGCGAATCGGGATCTGCATGTAGAATGTACATCTACGCAGATTCCGATTCACACGGTATTTGTACGTATCGTTGAAACGTGCGCACAAACGCCAGTATTCAACGTCAATTCACGGTCGGGCCAAGATCACTGGGATTAGACTGATGCGCGCGCATTCACACGTATTCCGCATATCGATGAAATCCCTTCCTGTGTCTTTGGCATATATATATATACAACATTCATATGTAAACGAAACACGTGACAAATTGATTTTCATGAGCAACTTACACAACTTAAACTATGTAATACCACAACGATGTTATCGTGAATTTCATATTTTCTTACCGATAGTAAATACCACAGAGGCGTAACATCGAGTTAAGAAATTCGATTTCGACTCGAATGCATATTGACCACGCATGTTACATTTGGATTTGAAATCAGTGCGCCTTTGTACGAAGATGTTGCAAAGTATCTGCTTCTCTTCTCTGTATACTCTTTTCCCTTGTTTTATCGACTGCATTTGCTGCTCTCGTTTTCTACGTTCCCGTTCCATGCAAGCACGTGTCGCGTTAATTTCATTTTCTTTTTATGAAATGATAGCCACGTCTTACTTCGGCAATGTTCAGAAGAAACGAAAATAGTATCGTCGTACGATTTAGACTACGCAAATGGAACGATGAAAGTACGCGCTTGTTGCACGGGCCTACGCGTGTTTGCAAAACAGAATAACAAATGTAATATCGAACGTACTTAATGCAAGTTTACGTAATTCTGTTCGAGCGGTATGTTTGAAGTCGACGATGTAACGTATGTTTTTTCCATCTTTTTTTTTTTTTTTTTCAAAAGCACGACCGGAATCGATGAATTCATTGCGTTTCATTAGCATTTACGCTCGTTATTTCGCAATACGTTCTATCACGCGACTTTGACGTATCAAAAACGTCGACGAGGCCGAAATATAAATATTTGCGATATTTTAACGTACATATGTACACGGAGGAGAGACAACGTTGGAGAGTAAAAGATCTATGAATGCAGTCGGATGAAAATAACGTACCTATGAAAATCGTTCGTCCTTCGAAAAGATTGACATACGATGAATTTTTCACGATTTTGTAGCAATAAGATTGACAAATTTCGCGAAACACCGAACGAAAAATGTCAAGAGCAAACGAGAGTTACTCGAAAGATAATAACTGGCGATGGTCCGTGATGCGAATACAGCGATCGCAGGGTACGCGCCGCACCATTTTCACAACTCCAATTCGTTTCTCGTCCGTCGGTTAACGGTGCTTAACGTTCACGTTAGATAGCGCCACGAGAATCTGGCGATATTGAACCTATATATGTACACAGTGGGCGACCTCGGGCGCACGCTCGTGCCCGCGTTTTTTTAAACGTTTTTTTAGTTGGAGCGGTTTCGGTTCACGAACCGCTGTGTCACGATCGTAAAGGTCGAAGATTATTTGTACAGTGTACATCGTGCGAGAACTACACCGCAAGAAGGCGCGTTCATTGTTCTTTTTATATTTATTTAGTACTACGAAGGACAATAAGCGGCAAGTTACTACAAGTCGCGAACATGTCGTATCTGTATCGAGGACGATCGGCTATTGAGTCCAAAGGAGAAACGATAGCACGAATGCAAACAATGAAATCATCGTTTCTTAAATGCGAGCAACGAGACTATAATGGACTATCGGCCAGCTGATCCAGCACGACGAGTTCAATTTGATAAGGGAGTTAGAGAAAAAATAGATTTCCGGCAATTGGAAATCAAATTAGCGAGAGAAGTAGTAGTCTTCGGGCGATGGAGACGCGAAAGACGAAGAAGAAGGAAAACGAATGGGACGCGTTGGGACGAAAGGGGTTGAGAAATGATAAAAAAATGTGCCGGGTATAAAGGCCAGGGCCAATAGATAGTCATTGAAAACAGAAAACATTTTCTTTTATAATTATATAGGAAATATGGATTATCGATCGTGGAAAATGCTATATGACACTCGCATAAAAACAATCGATATTACTCGAATAGAATACGAAAACGATATATTTGCAAGTCTAGATCAACCGGGAAATCGACGTACGTACGTTTTCAATTTTGTACGGATATCGACAAGCAGTCATTGTGAGATTGTAGCGTGTCTGTGATATACGTGTTGCGCGTCGTCAGATACGATTTTCGGAAAATTTGGAAAATTCGGAGAAATCGGTGAATCGATCGAAATACTGTTCGAGATAAATAGAATCGGCATACGTGTGAAGATGCGTCGCAGTCACGAACACAACTTTCGCGAAAGTAAAGAGCTCATGATTCGTTCGTGAACATAGGGTTAAACATAGGTCATCGATAAACAGGAGTAAAAGTCATCTAATGGTACAGAAAGAATCACGCTGTTTCTCGCTCTTTGTCGTTTTTCGTCATTGGTTCGTTACGATAATCGTTACATGTATCCTACTCTCCCTTTCGTTCCATGTCGTTTCTCTCTATACGACTGCCGATAAACGAAACTAGTATAAATACTCCAACTTGAAAATTCCATCATCCCCTTGATGTATGCAGTCGATCGTTCCACGGCGAACACTGGATTCGCGTAGCTCTCTGCTGTTCGTTGACTAAACGCGTATCGGTTTCTTCGATCGGTATTTTCTTATATCTTTATACTCTCCGATAAATTCTGTTACACCGGTTCGAATAAAAGAGAATTTGCGACGAAAAGCGTATACGGGAAAGCGGTGCACGTCCCTTCTACCAGAAAAAAGAAGAAAGAAGAAGGATCGATCGACCAAGCAAGTAAGTTCGATTTTCGTTCGGATCGGTCGAATAAACGCTGATTCGGCTTTTCATCGAAAGTCGAATCGCCTTTATTATTTATCGGTGATTCGCCTTTGCTTCGTTCTGCCTCGGGCTATCGACCGAAAAAGCTCGTATCTCGTATGGCGCGATGATACGCGAACGCGAGATCGAACGAAATAAAACGGAAGGGAAAGAAACAGAAGAGAAGAGAAGAAACACGAAAGCGAGAGAAACGAAAAATTAAGAATGGCAAATTTATCTGTTTACAGGAACACAACGTTTTACCAAAATATTACACGAGGGTGCCTCCGGTTACGAGATCGGTCACGAACGATTCGGGTATCAACCTAGATTGTTCGTCCAACACGACGATTGCGACGAATGCGAGTCCGTTCAACAGCCAGACAGCCTTGATCGCGGAGAAAAAAGTGATTCTTTCCGGCAACAGTGTCACCGCCTCCAGTAACCACTACTATGCGCAGAACTTGAGGAACAATCATCAGAAGACCCTGAGCGGGTCTCATATGTACGATCCCCTCGACAAGGGTATCGATCACGATTACAAACAACTCGATCCGTTGTTGGTCGGTGAACCCCCGTATACGGGGATCGAGCTTACCAAGCCAAGCATGAGTTCTCAAAATGTCAAACCGACCAAGGACTCGGACACCGTTATGCGTACGCAGTTCCAGAAGGAACCGAAACCATCCATCATGCGTTATGCCAATCAGGTAATTTATCGTTTGTCTTCCTAATTTTTTCGTTGTTTCACACAAAGTCGTACACAGTGGTCGGGACTTTGGACGCGTTGCAACAAGTACCGCGAACGATATACGGCAAAATCGCGTTCGCGTAATTCTCGAATCGGCCGGGAAGACGATTATCGAGAAACCGGTTACCGTTTACAGCTGACACTGACGAAACACGTGGACCATTCGCAAATCCGTTTTCCCGTCGTATGAGTTTCGACGAGACGATAGTTACGTACCGCGAGAAAACGACAAAGGCCACGTTCTTTTCTACTCGCGTACGAGTTTCAAGGATAACTCGAGGAAGCATCCTTGATCCATTTTCCTTGCGACTCGCCTCGAGCCTCTTAGAATCCGGACTCGTCCGCCACGTGAGCCTTACGATCGAATACGCGCGAATATACGAATATTACGAGGTTTCACGATTTCAAAAGAATCTTGCACGACCGTTGCACGAGGCGGCATCGCGATAGCGGTGCAGGATCCCGAAGCTTCTCGCCCTCCACGCTTTTCCTTCTCACGCGAATCGAATGCCATGCGTGCCTTTTCCGCCCTGTCAGTCACTCGATCTAAACTCGAGGGCATCGTGATCTTCGTGCTTACGACATCTACATTACGTATGCGTGTGCATATATATATATATGTGTGTGTATATATGTATATTCAGAATTATATTTGTTGTTGCGCAAACGAGATAAATATCGTGAACAACACGATATTACGAAAATACGCAAAACAAACGCGATGCTGCTCGATTGAAAAAAATGGGCATCCGGTATCCGAAAAGCTGTCGGTTCCTCGTACGCAGCACACGTTGAGCGTTGAACGTGGAGCGCGGAACTCGCAATTAACGAGATTATATTTTGCTCATCGTCACGCCACGCTCTTTTTATTCGTGGCACGCGTCCGACTCGAATTAAACTATGTACATAGTAATCTAAAGCAAACTAAATCGGTCCGAAAGAACACACAGAGAAAAAGACGGCACGGGTCGCGTCTATGAATGGGAAGATGCGAGTGTACGTATAGACGGGTGGGAAAGGATGCAGAAGCAAACGGGACAGGTGTAATAACGAGAAAAGGGGAAGGAATTGCGCATTGATCTCGCGCGTGTTTCGTGATCTCTCTATCGAAAGAGGCAATTGCGGAAAACAAAAGGCGAATGCATGCATCGCATGCGTGCATGCACGTTTGTACCCAACTACGGTGACCTTGCACGCTTCTGATAATAACTAACGACTTAATTTCCTTCCACGTATGTACATCGCTGACGTACTCTCGAGACGTTTGCGCATCATATTAAACAATTAATAGTGCAAAATGACAAGAGAGATGCTAGGCGTGTAGCCGATCAACAGTTATCGCGAATTTCACGTTCGATCGTTCTTAGATCGGTCCGTTCGATCTTAGACGTTATCGAACGAACGTCAAATCGCAACGAAACTTTTCGATATCGCACGAGCATCGTTACGGATGCGTACGAACGACGCCGTGGAATCGCACCGCGTCGTTCGATCGCGCCGTTTTGTCTCGCTCGCGGTCGCAGAAATGCTTCTGCATCCATCTTCCATCGACATAGTCGACGGCGTAGTATATCTCGGTTTACGGAGATCGTCTGCCGCCGATCGCGCGTCGATGCAACGACCAAGGGGACGGAATGGAACGAAGTGGAACGAAACACGGTAGCTCGTACTTGCACGCGGGAGAGAAAAAGAAGAGCAATGCGTTGTGCTCCGACAAAGAAGATTACGCAACGCGAAAGAAGGTCGCGAGTAACAAGATCGACCGGTCGCAACAACGACGCGGTTCCGTCGCGAGATTCCGAGGCAAGGCTCTCTTTTTAAATAAGCGCTCGTTCGATCGCGGCCAACGTATTCGAAGAAAACGAAGCGGCCAGCGGCTAAGGGGGATAGCTCGACCGGCCGTTCGTCGCGATCGACATCTTCCTTTCCTCTCTTTCTTTTCTTTTTCTTCTTCTTTTCTTCTTTCTCTGTTCGACGATCTCTCGAAATTAGTCCCACGTGTCGGGATCGAGTAACGTGCACGAAGGAATGGCACGAGTTACGCTCACGCATAGAACCCCGCGTACGCGAAAGCAGCGCGCACACATACGACCGTAGGTACGTATAATCGTCCGATTCGCGGACGGATGGATCCTCGCAATGACAAGGGAAGGGATAGTCGCGGCCCCCCAGCATCGTTTCCCTATATAAACAGGGAACCACCCGTCGGTCCACGAGTACCAATAGCGTGTAATTGATATACGGGAACAACGTCAACGTTAACGACAGCTCCGACCGCATCGTATTGACGACGACGACGACGACGCTACCGATACCGTCAACCTTGACGACAAAAAAAAAATATCAATTGCACCAACGACAGCAACATTGGCAGCGACAGCGCCAGCAAGAAGAGAAGCACAAGTAGTAGAAAGAGAAGAAGAAGAAAAAGCAAAGGAAGGAGTAAACGAGGAATAGCAAGAACGATAACAACAACAGGACCAGAGACGATATTTCATACGAGAACAACAATAGTGACAGGAAATCTCGCCAACGCGACGCGCCGACAGTTAAATGGTCGAAAGGACACGATCCGATACGGTGTAATAATAAAATTAAATCGACGTTGATCGGCACGCGCGGATCGCGAACGTGTTGGAACAGTTTGTCCGGCATCCTACGATTCGAAAGCAAAACCGAGCGGTTAACGTCTAGGCGAGAACGATCGTAGGGACCGTGACGTTTTGGCAGGACATCTCCGCGAAATTTTTCGTCCGACCTTGTCTCCGTATCGTTCTCGATCATGAAGATTCTTATGCGAGCTGATACCCATGTGAACATCGAATTACCGGGCAACGCGCCAGTCGCTAAATGCACCTTCACTCAGGTATCGACATAACACGGCATTGTGTACTTTATATAGAAATCTCTGAACGATGTTATTAACGATCTTACGCGTGCGAGCGTCCCTCGTCTTCCGTTGTTTCGTTCGTTCGTCGTTTATTCCTACGCCTGTAACCACCGCTCGACCTTTCGTATCGAGTATCGGTCGAGATTTTACCGGATCTCGCTCGACCGATATTATCTCGTAAACATCGGGCTGTTACAACCAGTAGCTTATTTCGTAGCTGATGAAACTAAACACGAGTTGTTACCACGTGATTCTACGAGTCACTTCGACACGGGGCACGCTCTTGCGACAATTTTTATCCACCTTATTAATCGATGTTTTAATTCAAACGTTTTCAGGTGTTGGCTGCCTTGTCGGTGTCCATGTGTTCCATGGTGGTAGGTTACTCGAGCTCCTATACCTCGCCAGGTTTGGTTTCGATGCGGGACAACGCCACGGCTACGTTCGAAGTAACGAAAGAAACCGTAAGTAGCACGAAAGTCTTTCCGTTACGTTCCGAGATGTAAAAGCGACCTTGCGGAAGGGTGAACCGAGCGAGGAACGAAGGGACCGAAGGGACGACCGTCTCTCGTGGACGACATTGTTTTTAAACAAACGTGCCTCGCGAGGAGATCGCGCAATCTCGAGTGTTTCGGTGAAACGAGAAACCGTACGTAACCAAGACGTTATCCGAATTCTCCTCTTATCCGAAGACCGAGCCAAGGTCGAGCGATCGTTACCGAGGCACGTTTGTTTTCGAACGTATTTCGATTATGCTTCCGCCGTCGTCCTCGATTACGCGAACCTGTGATTTACCGTTCCATCGCGAATTTCTTTTCAATCGACGCGTAACTAGGTAAAACGATCGCGTTTGGCAAAGTTATGTTACGCGAGAAAGATCGTTTCGGTCGTTTGAAAGAGGGCGACGATCCTGAAAGACAGCGACAATGGATAACAACGACGCGAGGAAAGATACACACATATATACATATATATATATATATGTACGTGTGTGTATATATATATATACAGCATCGATATCGAGAAAGGGTCAATAAATGATTGAGCGTTTAACCCATCGAGTGCGTCAATGCGACGTAGAATCAACGATTCGACGCGTTTCCCATACGACCCCGTGTCGCGTTTCGTTCGTTCGACAACCATCGACGCGCCTTGTCCAGCCTCGATTGGCGGGACACGCGATTGGTTCTTTGTTGATCGATGCCGGCACGCCGCTAAGTCGCCTACGTTGCTAGTTGCTACGTCGCTCCCGGTAGTCGTTACGTTGTTACGCCATGCGACTTTTGCCGTGATTTACCACAACCTTCGATCGGTCGATGATGCGCTTGGAGGTTTAATCGCGCGCGTGAATAAACGCCATGTAAATGCTTCCGGGTTCCTCAATGTCCCGTCTCTCAACGATCGCCGCTGTACGCAGATCAAGGTCTACGCTGGCGCGATAACGCTCCTTAAACAATTTCTTCGTTTCTTCCTTCCTTCCTTCCGTATTTTCTTTACACCCCGGACTTGTTTATATTCGAAGGTCGACGAGCGATTTTGAATAGGATAACGAGACAGCTCGCGCCTACGACGAGATCGAGGACCGGTCGGGACACGATCGTTACGAGAGGTTTTTGTTTCAGGGCATGTGGATAGGATCGATCATGCCGTTGAGCGCGCTTTTTGGAGGCATGATCGGCGGACCAAGCATCGAATATCTTGGTAGAAGAAACACTATTCTGGCCACCGCATTACCCTTCATCGCAGGTACGGCCGCGTTCCCGTTCCAATTTTCCAACGGACAATACGACGATCGTTCGGATCGCGACGATCCCCTACGTCGCTAACGGCTCGACTAATCGATCGATATCGTTTCAGCCTGGCTACTAATCTCCCTGGCAGCGAACGTTGCCATGGTGCTCGCCGGCCGTGCTCTATGCGGGTTCTGCGTTGGTATCGCGTCGCTTTCGTTACCGGTGTATCTTGGTGAAACGATACAAGCCGAGGTACGTGGTACCCTCGGTCTCTTACCAACTGCTTTTGGTAATACAGGTGAGCAGCTTCTCCATTCCAGTTGTCGAGATATTCAAGTATCGATATTGCGATGGAAATCGAACTAACTTTGTTTGCCTTTTGATTTCTTCAGGAATTTTAGTCTGCTTCATAGCCGGCATGTATCTAGACTGGAGAAACCTCGCGTTACTCGGCGCTGCTTTACCGATACCGTTCATGATTCTGATGTTCGTGATTCCCGAGACTCCTAGATGGTATATCTCCAAGGGAAAGACAAAAAGGGCGCGAAAATCGCTACAATGGCTGCGAGGCAAAGGCACCGACATTACCGACGAACTGTCCTCCGTTCAAAAGTTACACACCGATAGCGAACGTAACGTTTCGCAGGGTGCATTCATGCAACTGTTCAAGAAAAATCATCTGAAGCCACTTTTCATCTCGCTCGGCCTAATGTTTTTCCAACAGTTTTCGGGAATCAACGCTGTTATATTTTATACCGTTCAAATTTTTAGGGTAAGCTTCTGCTCTTTGCTCTTTATCCTGTTCTTTGCATATTCGCGTAGAGATTAGTAAGAAACAGAACAAAATGTACACATATATATATAATATATATATATAATATATATATAATATATATATAATATATATATAATATATATATTATATATATAATATATATATAATATATATAATATATATATACAAAGAAACGAAGATTAACCTTCGGATTATTCCGATGGTATTTTTCAGGACGCTGGAAGTAGCATCGACGAGAACATCTCTACCATCGTTGTAGGTATCGTAAACTTCATTTCAACGTTCGTTGCGGCATCCGTTATAGACAGACTAGGCAGAAAAATGTTGCTGTACATAAGCGCTATATCGATGTGTCTAACTCTATTCACGTTCGGTACGTTCTTCTACGTGAAGGCGACAGGAGTGGATGTGACGGCATTCGGTTGGATACCGTTAATGAGTCTGATCGTTTACGTAATCGGCTTCTCTCTGGGATTTGGCCCGATTCCATGGCTGATGATGGGCGAGATTTTACCGGTTAAGATACGCGGCTCGGCAGCCAGCGTAGCCACGGCCTTCAACTGGAGTTGCACGTTCATCGTCACGAAGACGTACGAAGACATTGTTTCGGTGATTGGACCGTACGGCACTTTCTGGATGTTCGGTACGATCGTTCTAGTTGGTTTCGTCTTCGTAATCGTCAGCGTACCAGAAACGCGAGGTAGATCTCTCGAGGAAATCGAGAAAAGATTCACCGGACCGGTGAGAAGAATGAGTGCGGTCGCTAACATGAAGCCTATGCCTATGGCCTGTTAATTGTTCCTCTCTCGTTCGCTCTCAACGTCGATAATTAGCCAATCGATCTTTTCGACTAACGCGACGATGGTCGCGACGTCGACACTAACTCGCGCGTGTTTCGCTTCGTTATGAAACGAACGAATCCTATAAGTATAGTTCCTTCGGTCTGTCGATAAGAACGAGCGAAGGGCACGTGTCTAGAGAGGACCGTCTTCCGGATCGATTCTCTCCTTTTTCAACCTTTTTTCGATTCGTACGCGGCTGCTCTCTGCTTCGTTCACTTTCGTTTCTCCGATCGTCTCTTTATTCCGGCCCCTTTCCAAACGACCCTACACGTGAAACCGTTCGCTCCGACGACACCAATTTTTTATTTCTTTTTGAACCAAACACCAAATACTCTTCGTTGTCGGAAAATTATTTCCATTGCGTCTAGCTTCCTGGAAAGGTGCGAGCAGATGGCAGCCAAAGAAAGCAGCAAAGGATGAACGCGCGAAAAAAGAAAAAGAAACGAAGAGAAAAGACGAAGGAAGTTTTAGAGAGCGGAAGTTTCGGTAGATCAGCTTGTTGTTTGTATGTACTTACGAAAAACGCTTGCTTGACGCAAGACCGGCTGATAGTTTAACGACATAATTGCGAACGCAAGCTCAACTTGAGAGAACGATCCGTCGACTAGACGTCATACGTAACCGTTATTTTTCTTATTTCAAATACTTTACAGGGTCTACCTCAAATTAGTACTTTTACTAAAGGTATACGAGTAGGTTAACGACAAGGATGAATTATTTAATTAGTACACGTGTGTATAGATTCGAGTACACCGATATGTTGTACTTAAGAAAATGCGTATAAACAACGTTGAAAAGGGAAAAACAAACGTTTCTTCCTTCTGTATCACCGCGACAATAAAATTTTTACGCGACGGTCGTAGAGGTAATTCTTGTGCATTTCTATCGATATCGACCGTCGCGTTTGTACATATGTATGTAGTTACCGATTTGCGTCAATGAACAATTGCGTCATCTATCAACGAACTAAACCGTATCATTCAGATATAAGTTAAGAAATAGAGGTAAAATAATACGCGTTTATTTTTTCATCGTTGAAATTGATGTAACTCACGAAAGAAACGTATCGCGCACAATGGCGCACGACATATCGCATTTCTTGCGTACACATGTATATACTGAATGCATGTATATACTTTGAGAATCGGTTCTCGTTATACAACGATATATATTTGTAACGCGATTTTTACACAGTATGCGCTTTTAATTCTTCATTTTTATTCCTAGTTTTCGATAATATGTACCGAGATCTGTTTCAATTCAATCGAATCTCGTTTGTACTTAAGCGTCGCGCGTTCTGTCCTATCCCGTGTCCCGGCCCGATTCATTTTTCCTCATACTCCCTTTCCTCCTTCACACGCCTGTATTTTTCTTCCATTCTTTTTTCTCAATGCGTGGATGTATGCACATCGTTCTCGATGTCGTGCGGTTAAACTGCCTCTATTCTCGCATCATCATTCCGAATCTCACCACTGGGACAAGACAAGAAAACGTTACGAAACATTCCTGTCTCGTATACTTTCACGTACGATCTAGATCTATCACGTCACGAGAAATACGTGTTCCCTCGGGAAAGGCTTTGTTTCGTACGCTCTAGCCCCTTCTTTTTCCCTCTACTTTTACCTTTTTAGTCTCGTTTCTATTTACCCAATTAACATTTCTATCGCGTGCCGCTTAGGCGTAGGGTGCTTGCCAAATTTTGAGAAAAAATATCGCTCGAAGATTTGTAACTTTACTACTATTATTTCCACTCGCGTTAAATTGACATGTACATTTCTAAGTTATTAAAATATAACGTTTGACAAAATACTCTTTACTTCTCCTCTCTTGCTTTATCCGTTCCATTGTCCTTCCTTTATCACGCGATTTTTTATCCCCGCCCCTGTCGATCCTATCGTCTTGCTTTTTGTGTAAGGTAACGCCATACGTTATTCCACATATACGCGATATATATTTGCTCGTTGGAACGAATTTGATCGTCGAATAAGGATACGAAAAGAAACGGAAAGTCGCTAACAACGGCAAGATCGATGTGTTCGTAAGTATGTTTGTCGAATAGGCATAGTTTAATATCGTTTCGATCTTTCGAGCAAAACGAGTCTTCGAGAAACGCCTTAATCTATGGACTATATGCATTTGAATGCAAACTTACCCATTACTTGAACTCGGCATATCGCGCAAGTGTCACATTCTACGTCCCAGCTCCACATAGCCACGGCGTTCCATTTTTTTAAGATAAACAGTTTATCCGGTTTTAAACTGTCGTTGTCAGCACGATCTCCTAAATCTTGCTCCGTCTCGGCCATTTCGACTTTTTAGGTTAGAAACGACGAGGCGACGCGAACTCTCTCAATGATTCAAACATCCGTCTCCGATGAAAATCTTCAAAGAGATCCCACACCTGTGACGCACACCCTGCGTTTATTCAACTTTGTCACGCGCGTTCGAACGATATCAACGACACCGTTGTCGATTTTGGTATTGGTATACCGTGAATCAAATACGAGCGGTATTCTTCCTTCGAACGCGCGTTTTCGATAATGCAGATCGTGCGCAATCGGTAACAAACGGTTCTATGCCCCGTTAATCATTCGGCTGTATATATATACAGTCGTGAGAAGGACGAACGTATAGTGCCATCTGGCGACGAAACAATCATGTTCGTCTCCTTAAATTCTGTTGTTGCACGAATGGTGTCGCGTTCGATTCGATATCGCGTTATGTATGTAGTTGGGTATATACGGGTGAATCAAAAGATCGTAAGGTTAGATAATCCAAACGCAAAACGGTACCTTTGATAAAGAAATTGTTAATTCAGCATGTGAATCGTGATCCAACGGTAACGAGGTTTCTTCTAACAATACTAACTTAATTGCGGCACAGTTGTAAATACGATTCAATCGACGATTATTTGATAATTACTTATTCATCGAATCCGATCTTACGAAGAGAAATGATAGAACATAACCTATGCAATGTCATTCTTTCAGATGCTTTGCGTAAAGTATGCCAAGAAAACTAGTGCTACGATTCTGTTTAATGTGTTTTCGAAGAGTCGGTACTCTCGACGTAGCGATAAAAGCACCGATTCGTACAAAATCGTGCAGGCAAATAGTGAAAACTTAAATGGTAAATGTAATCGTTTCTTTGCGACGATAGTTTAACAACAAAAATCCTTTTCTTATAGTCGTTCTCGATTGTTTCCAGATGTGGATGGTGCTGTACTTGGAATAAATTCCAATTGGGAGCTTTTAACACCAAGGGGATTCAGATTTTATTTACCAGGAAGCATCGGTCCCGGCTGGTCGGATGTAACCACGACCATTCAGGTCAAGACGCAATTAGTCGACCTGCATTCCAACAAACAGATCTTGGTAGATGGACCCAAAGAAAAATCTGGTCGCTTATTGAGTCGTTCGAGAAGGAACAATCAGCATCCAGAGCTTCGTTACGTAGTGCAGGAATGCCCTTTGTTGCTAAGAAAAGGTATAGAGGAGCTATTTCCTGGATGTTTGGACGTCGGTTCTCCCCAGCTTACTATCGTTACTGTCAGCCAATCGATTAACTCGAAGGTTATGAAATGGAACAGAGAAATAGAAACTGAGAAGCTAGCTAAATACGTACGTATGTATGACTTCGTTAAATTATACCGAAAAGTATCCTTGTCTATATATTTAAAGAGTAGCCGGTGTAAACCAGGCAGTGAATCGTCAATACGATCCGTACAAATCGTTTCTTCCTTTATTTACAGTTTGTGCTAGCTGCTTCAGATATTTGTGCAAAATTGAGAAGAATGGGTTATTGGGCAGACTTCATCAATCCATTTAGTGGACAACCACATTTGAGTTTACAAAAAAATAGTACTCTGTACAAAACGGACGAGCGATTCCGTTGCTTAGGATTTAAAATATTACATAGGAGCAATTGTAAGGTCATTTTGTACGATAATAACGCGAAAAATTTTTTGGGTAAGTAAGCGTAAGCGTATGCTTTATTTTCAATTATAGATCAGTAGATCGCTTATCGAAGATTTTGTCGACGTCGCGCGGTTGTACGATTCAATCGACAATACGGTCACAGATACCGTTCTGTACGTTGCAGGAAATTTCTACACCACAGCTCCCGCGAGTACAGAATTTTTAAGAGAGATTCTACATGAATGCGAGCTTGTAAATGTTAACAAAGCTTAATAAACGTAGAGCGAGAGGAGAAGGAGAAGAAAGAGCGTCGATATATATATACATATATATATATACAAAATACGTTTTTACGAGTGTTATATTGCTGTTTTTCATCGTTCAAATGATTTTTGAGTTGGCATGTATTGTACAAATCTAAAAAGAAATTTCATACGATATAATCGTACGTAAAATGCTTTTTTTTTTTTCGGTACGCTTTACATTATCGCGTACACTGTTTCGTACTTGGACAGTTGCGAACTTGCAACAGCTTGCAGTTGTACGTTAAAGATGGAATTACTTTCCTAAGAATGTGCAACGTGTGTCATTTCTTATTCTATGTTGTACGTAAATTGAAATGATCATAGGTAACTAATACCACCGGCAGAAGAATTCTGATACACGAGGTAAGAATAAATATTTATCTAGGAGCGCGAATAGATTCGAGTTTCGTTTAAATGGTTTCGCTGCGAGCGAAAGAACGCGAAGAGACGCGAGAGAAGATCGCGTTCGCCAGGAAGAAAGAATATCAGTCGACTTCGAGTTTGCGGAAAGAGCCAGAGATACCGCACAAATCGTCGTTCGTCGAAACACAATGACAATCCGCCGATGTAATCTCTATGTACATGTCGTCGAGCTCCTTTATTCGATTCCTCTGTTCCCTCAAAGTCTTCTTGAAATTTGCTGAAAAGCAAAGCGAAACTGAAACTTTGACTAAAACCAAAACTACATGGTCGACGGTGAACGATTATCAATACGTATATACATACCGATCATCTCGCAGAGTGGAATTTCTCCCCCGTACTCTTTCGGCAAGATTCTTGGATCAATCGCCGTTTTCAATTCGTCCAGGCTCTTGTGTACCTTAATGCGAGTATAGCACGGAGATTATTCGAAGATGAACGTTCGATTAAAGAAAAATGTAGGATCGCGCGTACAAGCGTTACGTACCATGATTCGATTTTTCAACTTATCGTTCAGAAGAGAAATGCCAAACTCGATGACTTTGATCGCGCAACTCGGGATATTAACAAAGTGAGTTTCTTTGTGTCTCATGGGTGTACTGTTTTGAATGCATCGTAACATGTTGCGAATATCCGTTAGGGACCAGGCGCTAAGATGACCCATTGTCAATCCAGATTCGTCGTTGATGTGTGTGTATCCACGGACCTGATTCTCCTCGTCGTCCATTAGAGATTCCACTACGAGACTATGAGCTCGAGCCATTTGAGCGGACGTGTATTTGTAAGGATCGAAACGCCCTTTGGGAGAAAGGATGTCAGTGCTTGAAAGACGCGTGCAAAGTAACGGGAGGAAACAAAAAGACGAAGGAGGAAGAGGCGGAAAGCTTACTTCGAGAATAGAGCAAATCAAACTACTTACATATTGTGGCGATTGGCGGATACTCACCTGCGCAAGAGAGTATCACTCGTCGACCATGACGGTCGCGTTGCATCAACGGTATCAGATAACCAGCATCTATGATAGCCTCGATGTCTTTATCTTCGACATCGAGATTTTGGAACCAGTTTGGATACAATTGTCTGATAGTTAGATAGCGTTCGAGCATCTCTTCCGCCATCGGCACGCTGAACTTCTTGGTTCTGAGGAACCTGAGGAGAAAGGCCGCGTCCGTTCTGCAACGCTTGATATTAGGATGCTTTTGAATCCAATCTCTGAATTGTTTCAAGGTTTCTTCCTTGATGGCATCGTCTTCGCGAAGTTCCACGCGGGCGATCGTTCTCGTGCTCTCGCTTAACGCGCATCCGTAATTTTCTTCTTCCGACTTTGCCATCGTTCGCGTCCGAAAGAATCGGACAAGTACCGCTCTCCTTACGGATCGCTCCGCGCTTTCGGTTCCCCTCTTCCTCTTGCTCTTCCTTCTGCTGCTGCTGCTGCTGCTGCTCCTCCTCCTTTGCCTTCTTGTCCTCGTTCCGTTGTTGCTGTTGCTGCTGCTACCGCACTACTACTACTTTTATCCCACTTCTGCTCCTTCCCCTGCGCTTCTTCTTCCTTTCTCCGTCTTCCCGCGTCCTCGTTTCGCTCGTTCGAATTTTAACCAAGCTACCGACGATTACGAGACTCGGCGAGTTCTTACGCCATTCGGCGACTCGTCGTCGAGGAGAAAGTTCGACATCGATCCACTTGCGAGAGAACAACTGTCCTTGCGATTCTTCGCAGCGCTTTCTAACAACCAACGATACGACCTCGCCGATCTTTCGCGTATCTTCCGATGTCCATGTTTACGACCTCGTTCTCCTTCTCGTTAACCAATCGTTAACGGGCGATCGCGAATATCCGTTGGTCGCTTATTGACGCGCAATCGTCGTAAAATAGTAACCGCGGTTCAAACGGAATATAGAATACACGCGAGAAATCGCGACGTTTATTTATAGATGTACGTTCAAAAATCGAAACTGTTGGTTCGACGTGACACTCTAGCGGTTCGTAGCATGGTGCTGGCAATCGGTAACGCGGCACACCGAACGTTACGTTCGTATCCTTACAGTTACTCGGAAATACACGGCTAATCGCGGCTAGCCAAGGTCGTCGATCACTATTCGCGTCACAATATCTTGTGCCGCGTTGAGAAATCTTTCTCCTCGACCGACTTGGACCCGAGTAATCCGCTTGCTTGCTCGCTCGATCAATTTAAGGCGAGATCGTGGTACGCGAACCGCTCTTACCGCTCCTACTTTTCCCGCTCTTACCGCTCTGCTTCCTCTCTTCGCACTCGCTTTGCTCTTCTCCTTCCCTTTACATAGTTCTTTTCATTTTCCAATGCCTAAAAGATTCGACACGCACGCGAATAATACTCGTCGCCGTTCAAAGGTTGCTACTTTAAGAAACGCGACGTCGTTTCTCCACGCATTTGACGTATCTTGGACGACGGGAATTCTCAAGTTCGCAACACTCGATTCGATTCGCGGACGAACAATGCGCCTACGTTATTAGACGGTATTAAACGGTATAAAACGGTGGCCAGTCGAGGGTTCGCTTTCTTCTCGTAATTTTACGTTTTACTTTCACCGCGAGTCTCCTTTCGGTCGGCCAGCTGAATATCCAGGCTGCGTTATATACTACGACGACATAGTCATCGACGAAACGATCAGAAAACTCGGAAGATTTGCCGTTGTTCGTCGAAAGCAGCGAACGGCAACGCCAAGGTAAAACGCGCACGCCTAATAAAATCGGTCTTTTTTACGATATTACTACCGGTCGTTTTTTCGCTAACCGCCTTCCGCTTTTCTCGACGTTCTATGCCATTTCCTTTCACCGTTTGTTCCCTCGTCGACTCGGATCGATACGCATTCCTCGCGATGTTTATACGTTCTTTTTTTAAACGCTTCGAACAGGATTTTCTCGATCATAGGTCTACGATATATGATTGGCCGTTACACGTGACTGGCGTTTCTTCCCATTTGCTTGCGTAATCAGTCGTGTACCAGGACGTTTCTCGACTCGGTGAAAGTCGCCGTTCAATCCGCATTTGTAGTTGTGCCTTTCTATTCTTTCCTACTTTACGCGTATCTTTGCACATCGGTTCGTCTCTCGTGCTTTCTCAAGCTGCGCTTTGCATCGACGTTCCGCATGGCTATTGGAAAGTCGCGCGACTTACGTTTTCTTTTCGAATTGGTATTTACATCGACGTTGCAAGGAAAAAGGGGAAACAAAAGAAACGACTAACTCGTGAACAAAATATAATTGGTGTATAACGTATGCTTACATTTTTGTTTCGCTCCATACGTTTCTCATCGATCGTCGCTGTACGTTATACAATCATATATAATATACGATCAATGTACGATGTACGATACACGATCATATTCGTTTATCGAAGAACATGCAAGTTCCGTCGAATTGCCCTTTTATTTCACCCCTGTACTTCGAAATCCATCGATAAAACGTACTTTAATACACGAAACATTACGAGTTTCGCGTTCGTACGCGAAACTTTCGCGCGTACGCCTAAGTACATACTCGATAGATAAAATATTACACAGAATCGTTGAGAAAAGTGCAAACGTCGCAACGAGATAGCGCGATCCTGCAATTCGGAGGGCTACCGGCCAATGTCGAACCTGCAAGCATCTGATAAACGTTTCGACGAAAACTCCAATTGCAACAACCGCGTGAAACATCCAAAGAGTCATCTAAGGATTACATTGTCGAACGTCAGGTCCCTACTGTCGCGCTGCGTGACCGACTTTTTAAACGGATTCCACGGTAGTTTCTTAGCTACGTGGGCGGTGGTAACGGAACCGGCAGGACTC